ATTTTGTTAGTATTTTTTTTTTTATGAACACTGTAGTTTGAAATATGCACAAAAATGTGCTTTTTTGCTCAAAAGTGATTTAAAAAAAATTAGCTTAACCATGCTTCTGTTTTCTGTCAAAATTGGTTCATGGGTACATCTGTTTACTATAAAGAAAGTGCCGTCTTGAAAACTGTCTACCAGTTGTCAATTTTGCAGGGCAGCAGCTCAAATTTCACCACTTCAAGTTTATGCATAAATTAACACCCAGGCTAGTTGTTTGTACGATTGTTGTAACACTGTTCAACCAAAAACAATGCCCCAACAGCGTTTTGAAGATAAACACATTGTCAATCATTTGTGAAAATTTCAAAACAAAAGGTCAAAGCGTCTAGGAGCTATTTTTTTTGAAGTTCTAGGATGTGCACTAAAAAGAAGCTGAGATAATTGCTAATTTGCATAACAATTCATTCAGTAAGAAGTTTGCTAATGCTCATAATGAAAATGGCTGTAACAGTTCCAAATTTGAATGTATTATCGTTTTGTAAAAAGTTAAATATAGTGCATAATATGGAGATCCCGGCATTTCTTTTTTTCACCATGTTTCCTTTTTATTATTTATGTACAGCCTTGCTAAATCTTGCTAAGCATTCAAAAGAGAGAATGTTTGCACCTGTTATCTATATTTTAAAATCGTTTTTTGAGTATGTTCCACTATTCACAATTCTACAAAATTTTAACAGTCTATAGCCAAGACTGTTTGGATAATAAAAAGCAAAAAAAAAAAAATTTCACAAGTGCCCACAAACCTGCATCTCTACCTTAATTATTTAATTAACATATTACTGGTAAGTCATTATAGTGTATTCCAACTTGTCTCTGCAACTCAATATGAATTACAGTTTAAATTACATAATAAGATTTATTAATAACTCTTTATGATTTATTAATTGACCCTTTCATGATAATTATTCATTATTAATATTGTAATTAATAAATAACTTCCTTTCTTGACTTGGATCTTATTCTTCTCCCCAGACAACAGTCGATCATAGACTCAATGCAAAATCTGTTTTATAGTTCTTGATTCAAATGTGTGCATAATCCTATACACTGTACTGCTGATGTTATTAAATATATATTTTTTCCACCACCATTTTATGTCAAGTGACTTTTCCATTGTTGTTTTTCTTCTTTTTTAATCAAATTAAATCTGAAATGAGAATTCACCAAAATTACGAAACATTTTTGCATTTCGGGAACCGAATCTTGATTGCGTTATGACGGATTTTGTTCAAACTTGGTACAAACATCAGACATTATGTGTCCTTGATGCACACCATTTTGTTTTTTATATAAAATTCAAAATTGCTGACTGGTGGACAAAAATGGTGTGCTGGGGGCTACATGTAGATGTTCGACATGCCTTCACCGATGACGTTCAAACTTTTTACATACAATCATGTTACACATACATGATGTACATTTAATTTAATTTATTAGATGATCCGATTCAAGATTTTTGAATTGCAGCCATTTTAATTTTAAAAATTTATAAAAATCTAGCATTTCTGCAATTCTGGATCATGGTTGTGCATGGACAGATTTCATTCTAACTTTGTATGTACTTTGCCTGTTATGGGACCTTGATGCACATCATTTTGGTCATCAGATTGGATTCAAAATGGCTGACTGCTGGCCATTTTGATTTTTAGTAAATACGTTGATCGTTCATGCTCAAACTTTACATATTTCTTAAACTTGAGAACACCCAAGGAATATTTAATTAATTAATTCATTACATTGAAGTAGGTGACACTTTCATTTGCACGTCATATGTATGTTATATCAGGTTAAAACTCAAGCAAGACAAGCAATATGAGCAGTATGATAATAAAATATTTATCATGTTGTTATGGTTACCAGAGTCAACCATGCAAAGGTATGAAGGAGCAATTATGCCTGTGCTCACTCACTACTTGACTAAAAATATAGAATAAAGCTATCATAAACTTATTTGCACTGTGATGTGTTCTTCAGTATTAACCTTTTTTATGTGTATAGCCAAAGGAGAAACGAAAGAAAATGTCTGTTTTCTTTGTTTTCTAAAACTAATGAATCGGCACGCTCTTTCATTGTTATTCGTTAAATTCTGCTTTTATTTTGATTTTGAATGAATGATTCAGTGAAAATAAAATCCAGCGAATATTCTCAATATTTTACATTCAACTTGTCAAAAATCAGTGAAAATAAATTCGAAACAAAACACACCAAAAAATCTTTTCTCAGCGAAAATTAATTCCAGCTAAAATAAAACATTTTACAGTAATATTTTTGTTGTGTGTACATGTATATGGGACTGAGATTTGTCCCAGCTGCTGCTCTGATGGTGTATCATTCTATAAAAAAAAATGATCCTATTTGAATTATTTTAATAAATGCGAGCACAATTGTGATGTTATTACATTATACATGGGAGTGATAAATAAAAATGTCATACATTCTAGCTGCAGGGAAGTTGGGGGCGTTAAGTAGTAATATACCTGTACAAGTGTCTTTTAAATTAATTAACCTTTTTCTCCCCATGATGGTATCACCTTTTATGGCTTCCTGTTCAAAATCTTGCTTTTAACGATGACATGTTAAAATTTGAAAAGTTGTGATTGAAATTTAAAGCAATGTGTTATACTACCATTTAGCCTTGAAATAAAGCTGAAAAATCAAGTCGAATTTTTATCAGTTTTCACAAAAAAATACGCACCTAATTTTGTCTGTATTTTTTATCAAAATCATAGCAAATGCGAAATTACATCAATTCGGGCCGAAATTAACCAAGAAATTATAGTAAAATGCAAAAAAATGGACCACTACAATTTGAGGAAATTAAAAGTTCAAACAGTTTAAGGAAAAAATATGTAATTATACATTTTGTGCAGAAAAAAAAATTTGGGCTATTATAAAAACATAGTAATTTTAACATGAAAACATAATACTATCTGTACTGCATAATTTATTTGTTGAAAGCTATATTTTCATCAGAAATGTCTTTCTGTTTTACAATAGATTATCAGGGGATCACCTGTTGGTTGGTTTCCCTCAACTAATATTTTTTTCATATTCTAGAATGTAATTATTTGATTACAAAGCAGATTGAAGTCTATATCTTGTATGGCTGACTGGATGTGACAGTCTTTTGTATGGATTGAGTGAGTTATTACGACAGTGAGAATAAAATAGGATATTTTCAATTTTCTGATTATTTCTGCCACAACTGTTCTGTGGTTCCTACTGTTTAGGTAAAAATTTGAACATATTCTCCATAACAGTCCTTTATTTGTTTAAAATCTACCAGTAAATTTTCTAGATGTGAACAAATTGGGTTAAAATAAAAATACATAGATCCCAATCACAACTTTTACCCTATTTTTTCCTACATGAAAAAAAACAAAACAAAGAATTTTTTTTCGAACATTGGTTTGCTGTTAGGCTGTATTAAAATTGCATAATTATCATAAATTGATTTCATATCAAAGAATTGTCACCTGATTGAGACCTACATTTATATCTCAATCTAAAGGTTTACAATCAATTATCTAATGGGATTATGTCACTCAGTGCTACGCTGGCTCTTCCTTGTCATTCAGTGCTCGGCTGGCCCTCCCATGTCATTCAGTGCTACGCTGGTCCTCCCATGTCATTCAGTGCTACGCTGGTCCTCCCATGTCATTCAGTGCTATGCTGGTCCAATCTTCCAGGCAGAGTTCTATTTCTACGAATATATCACCACCACGCGATCTTATTCTAGTCGTTGATTGGTTGATGCGTCACAGTGGTACTTCTTTCAAAGACGCTCACCAAAACATTGCCATGCAGGTGTTCGATTTTCGAACCTGACGAATGTGTCCTCGTTTACTGATTTTGGCTGTTTTCGAAGTTAGAAACTTCTTTTTTTTTTTTCTCTAACACAAACGTTGTGGCAGTAGGACGATTTAGTCGTCAATACTACAAAGTGCTTTTGTTTGTTTATAATTCTTGGCCTGGCAATCGACAGGACGGTCAGTTTGTTGAACCGGGTAACACCTTTAGTAACCGTTAATCCGCGATAAAACCATTTTTCTTTTGTAAATTATAACTATTTCACCCTTGACAGTGCATTTACAGAAATATCATTATCATTTATCGATAAAATATTTTAAATCTTGTTTTCCAGTAGATAAATCACATGAGAGCCTTTTAAGACAAAATACGCAAATGATACGCGTAGTAAAGTT